CAGGGTCGTCCCAATATGCGTTTTTGCAATTTGCATATAGGCAAAAACGCATAAAAATTGATGCTTGAGTATTTTTCTGTCAATACAATGCCCTTCCCAGCACTACGATTGCGGACAGTTACTAAACACTACACACACACACACACACACACACACGCACACACACACACACACGCATACACACACACATACATACAAACAGCATTCTTAAAAACATGCACGCATAAACATACTTACATACCCAAATAAAAGCACATACTAAGCCACTCTGCTTTTTTCACCCACGCATACCAACAAAGGGCTTTTAAGCAGCTTTGACGAATAAATTACATGGTTTGGAGTTGGGTTTACTGCACCAACTGTATGATTTTTACTCGATTAATCATGTCCGGAATTCGCTGCTGCTACGCTGCAATCCAAACATTTATAATGTTTGAAATGCAACGTAGTAGCAGCGAATTTCAGTTGTCTGTGCTTCATCTGCCGGGCAAATTCACTACACTTATTCCGGATCCTTTTTTTCTGCTGTAGCGTTTATCACTAACAGTCATAGGAAGGCCGAGCTATTGGATTAGGGTACTGCATGTAGCTAGTAACGGATCATAATGCATTTCGTGTAATAATTTTATTTCTCGTCGGTAATGTACTTCGTCTTGCTCTAGGAGCATCAACGTCCGACATAAGGTAGTGATGCTCAAAATCCACCAATAACACTCTGAAGCGCTAAAGCCTTGCCAGATACTTATGTAGGGTGAATCGTTGCAGTGCTATTGCTTCCAGGAGACGAAACAGACGTCAAGGCCACCAAAAAGTTGATCACTGAGCGGTGTATCGTTGGTTGAGCAATTTTGAAAAGCTGTCAGTTGTGTAGTTGCAGAACCACGCTATGAACCACCTCATCAAAATATTTTGATAAACAGCAAATGCGGAAGGTACCTGTGCGATCATGTGTTTTTCGTAGTTTTGCTTAGCTAAATTAACAAAGATTTCCATCCTAGCTTACACGTACTAGTGTATGACAAGTAGGTATATTTGGAAGCTTAAGGACAACAAGCATTTTGCCAAAATTTCAGCTTTCTATCTTATCTGGTTCTTGAGCTAAAAAACTTCCCTCTTGAATTCCACGCACCCATACCTAAAGTACGCGTATAGGGGAAAGTTAAATTTAAATTGCCGGAGTCGCTCACTGACAAGAAATGTCATTTCAGAGTTCAAATTGTCGTGTTTGATTCACGAGTAGGATAATTTTTTCCTTAAAACTTCAAGTGTCCGAACTAAAAACATAGGTTCACATGAAATCTCAGTTTAACTTTGCAGAATTGCAAATCGGTCAGGAAGCATCCTCCGATATTTTTCGCATCCTAACATTTCTGGTTGCTGAGTTAAAACCCCTAATAAAATCCGAACAGCCCACAAGGATAGAATCTCGCAGCATAAAACTCGTAATAATATTACTGTAAAAAATACGACCGTGTCCAACCTGTTTTTATTTTTTGTCGGTTATACATGCTAACCAACAGTCATTTTCTGAACGTAGTACTGGTTTAACTTTCGGGGTATTTTTTGCAAGGATAGCTGCACCGATTGCTCGGACGGTCTTTGTACTCATGGGGTTTTGAGAATAAAAACATCTGGACAAGGAGGAGTGATTTCATTTGTGATGATTATATTTATCTGTTTCAGGAATCCTAAAGTTCCAAATTTAGCGCATTTAGCGGCAACTGTTATGATACACAATTGCTGCCTCTTGCTAATTGTTCTTCTACGATTCACGACAGCCGAAAATACTTTTAATGTGCTGCTGGAAGAAGATATAAAAGTGGACTTGGGTAATATCATGCGAGAATCTTATTTTAATACCTTTACTGAAGTTGCCGAAGGAGTTGCGGAAGTTACTGACGATGAATGTCAGTTTCTTGGGCAAAATGCAGCACAAGAAATGGGACGCTTCAATGTCGCGTCAGGCCAAAGAGGTTGGTAATTATTGCAAGGATTACTGCTGAGTGATAATAAGAAGTCCAAAATTATTTTAAGAATCCACAAAATTTTTGTTGAGCAATTTTTTAAGGAACTTTTCAACTGAGAACACCTTTTCATTTACTCATTAAATGCTGAGAAGTGAAATTTTGGGTATGCACTCGCCAGACGTAGTTAGGAGGAAACACTGAGTTCACACTGATAAGCAAATGAAAAGATTTGATTTTTTCGCTTCATCACAACGATATCCTGCACGTCGCTCATCTGACGGAACCAGCCCAGGGTTGAAGAGCTTAGTGTAGGTGTATTCGGCCTGCAGAAGCATCCCAGTAGCAAGGTACTCAAATTGACGCTCGAGCAGCCTCAGTATTTTCAGTACAACAATTTCCTTGCTAAAATTCGCACCTGTGGTTATATAACACATAGGCGATGCTGGGCGGTCTCCTGGAGAGTGGAAGGGGCCCTTTCCTTCTCCCTTTGTCACTACACTCCCCTCTCCCTGGGCTAACACCCGCCCCGTCCAATCGTTGCGCTGTCGGGCGAGGGTTGGGTGACGGGAAGAGCATTCCTCCCCATCTCTCATCAATGGACAGTCGACTGAGACTGTCAAGGCTTACCGAGCAGACTTTTGCACAGTAAAACAACTGCCACTTAAGCTCCTGGGTGGGCGAAAGGCGCCAATGAGAGCTGGTTTCAGAATACATAATGTGCAATATAAGAGTGAATCTAAACAAACAGATTGGTATGAATATGCTTCTAACTTTGTGCGGAGTTGTCACTTGCTTCAAAAAATTTAGTTACACATGTAACACAGTAGCAAGAGATGGTTTCACTTCCTCTACACAGACTGCCGGGCGAAGCATGGGGCAACTGGAAAAGTGAAGGGCGCTCCTAGTTGCTGTTTAGATAGGGGTGGAACAGCGGGAAGAACAAATAGCGCTCTCATTTGCTTTCGAACGGTGCCTGTAAAATGAATTAGAGAAGTTCTTAATTAACTGTAAAATGAAGCGAGGGGGGAGGGGGAGCGGGGAGGGAGGGAGGGCGAGGGTCTGGGTGGGTGAAGAGTGAAAAGCGCTCCTAGTTGGCTGTTCGGCAAGGGCGGGATGGGGAAGGAGTGAAGGACGCTTTCGGTTGCTGTGGAGCTGCGAGATGAGCAAGGGACGTTATTTTCCGCTCACCTACGCACGAACACGGGAAATTTGCAGCTACCACGATTTTACAGACCAAGAACTAGGTGGACTGGAAAGCTAAAGTTTCACAGAGATGTTCTCCGGTCAGCTGCATTCCAGTGAATTCAAAATTCACTTATATCAACGTGTTAAACAAACGCGAAATTTGACAATACGAAATTGCTGGTGTCTTTTTCACATATGTTGCTAAATCACACACACTCACGTCGATTCCTATTGTGTTGAGCTGTTTGAGTAAGTAACTGGTACTAGTGGAGGCATACAGCTCAGTATCAAAGGATCTGGCATAACTGCGCTCGAC